AGGAGGAGGAGGAGGAGGAGGAGGAGGAGGAGGAGGAGGAGAGGAGAACTATGGGGCCCTTGGTGGCCTCTGAGCTTGGTTGTACGCTTACGGACATCTCACTACCACACTAGGTAACTTCAGCAGTGTATCGTACGTCAATGATAAATATAAAAACAGTTAAAGTTTAGGAGAATTTAATGGTTTCGCTGCACGGCTTCTCTTTTTCCTTCTCCCCCTCCAGGCTCCCTACTCTGGCCGGGTCTTCCTGCACGAAGGCTGGCCCTTGTGCCTCCATGAGAAGGTGACCGTCCATCTCAGCCCCTTGAACCCCCTTCTGCTCCGTCCGGGGGACTTCTACCTCCAAGCCGAGCCTTGTGGGGAGCAGTCCGCCTGCCTGGTGGTGAAGTGTCTCTCCAGGGACTTGACCACCGCCGAGAAGATCTCCATCCCCGATGCCTCTTGCTCCTGGCTCTTCACCGACGCTTGGCTGGAGGACGTCAACCGAGACCTGGAGAGGCCCGCCCTGCGCACCTGCCTGGTGGCCACCGGCAACGGGATTGTCCCCGTCCCCTGGAATAAAATAGCCACCCCGGAGTTCGTCCAGCTGCCCAAAGCAGAACAGCCCATGGAGAAGGACTCCGGCCACCCTGAGGCTCACTGCAAGGCTGGGCCTCCAAGCCACCCCAGCGGGGAAGACCAGGTCTCCAAACCCTCTCCAGGGAAGTATCCGGGGCTCATCAAGGTAGACCAAGGCTCCTGGAAGAAGTCCACCCTCTTCGTGGTGCCCAGCCTCTGCGACATCATTAGCGAGAACCTGGAAGGCGAATATGTCAACCTGGTGGAGTTTTCGGAGGAGTCCCCAAAAGCCGAGATGTCTTCTCCAGCGGTGGCCCCTCACCCTCTTCAACCGGAAGGCGAGAAGGGGCTTCTTCAGGCCAACGGGGAGACCGGACCTCCGGGGGAGGCCTGGAATTGTGGGAAGGAGCAAGACTTGGAGGAAGGGCCCTGCACGCCCTGCCTGAGAAGGAAACTGAGCCCGGACTCCAAGACCCATGAGCCACGGTGCCGCTACCGAGACTCCTACATGGCGGCTCTCCAGAACCCCATCAGCTTCAACTCGGGGCTGATGGCGGCCATATTGGAGGAGATGGACTTGAGCCAAGAAGCGTCCTCTTCCGAGGACACGGAGGCCCAGCCGGATGAAGGGTCAGGCCAGATGATCTCTACGAACCTCCCGGAACACCCCAACAAGGACAGGAAAGCAGAAGAAAGTCCTAAGGCGGCGGCCACCAAACTCACAAAGTCTCCGGCCGAAGGTCCTGCGTCCAGCAGCAAATTCTCCTTCCTGAAAGGCCACCGTCCCACGGCCTCTTCTGGGGAGGGGCCCGGCTCCCCCGAAAAAGCTGGGAAGGGGCCCGAAGGTCCTCGGAAGAAAACGTTGATGGTCTCCTCCCCCAAAGGAGCCAGAGCAAAGCCGGCAAGAGGTAAGAGGAAGAGGGGGGGGGGATGCAAGAATTTAATTTGGTTTGCAAGAAGTCCTCATCTTATGGCCGCCGTTGGGCCCCAAAATTCCCACTGCTAACTGAGATGGTCGTTAAGTGAGTTTTGCCCTGCTTTATGACCTTTTCTTACTACAGTTTACGGAGTAAATCCCTGGGGTTCTTCAGTTGGTGGTGGCTAAGTGAATCTGGCTTCCCCAGGGACTTTATCCGAAGGTCGCATAATGGGATCACGTCACCCCGGGACTCAGCGACCGTCATAAATATGAGTCAGCATCTGGGAAAAAAATTTTTTTTAGTAAAATTTTATATATTTTATAACATACAAAAAATTCCAATTTCAATTGTTGTCCGGGTACAAGTAGTTTTAAAAAAAATAATCAAAATGTTTACAGCCATGGTAGTTTACATTGATTGATTCTATAACGTCAGTAATATTTCCTTATCCATTTTAACAAATTCTCCTTTATAACATTAGTCCTTCTCTTATATTCCCCGTTTATTCGTCAAACTAGCTGAGAATCCAGGCGTTGCCCAGGTATTTATTTATAGGGGGAAAATGTCTGGACCAAACGTAATTTGTATGTTGGATTTTCCCCCTTACCAGAGGGAGCCCCCTGGTGGAGTACTGGGAAGCTGTTATCATGGCAACTCCACTGTGCTGTACAGTAGAAGCCATTTGAAGGCGCAACAGGCTGTATCTTAACAGAACACACAGCCCGAGGAGTGTTAGGGGTGTTTTATCAACACAGTGGTTTTTTTTTTCCAGAGAGGAAGTCATCTGTGTACCAAGTTTGGTTGAAATTGCTCAAGGCGTTCCAGAGTTATGCTGGAACACACACACACCACACACACACACACACACACACACAAATGATCCTAAGTTTTTTTCAGTGCCGCTATAACTTCAGTTACTAAATGGAACGTTATTAATCAAGGACTCCTCGTATTTGTCACCTGGCAAGAAGCCCAGAGTTGCTAATAGGGAGATGGGCAGCAATACGAATTTAATAAATTAAATTAAATTAAATTAAACAAAGCATCAGTTAGTCAAATCCCTGGGACTATGGTGTTGGTGTTCGCTGACCTATCTTGGCCTGAACTGGGGTTGCATCAACCACACCATTGCCAGCCAAAGTTTTAACGTAATTTTTGTTTATTGCATTTAACTTTATACCATCCGGTCTTACAGCCTCAATAAATACAACTGAAATGGCCAATAAAAGAACCTTAAACTATAAAACCGATGAGTAACAGCCGCAGGCACCCATGAACTCAAACCGCTTAACGGCCAACGGCCACTATAAGAGGCCTTGCGAAATATCCCGAGGGTTGGGGACCTGCTGCCCCCTCCCCAAAGGAAACATTTTCTTCCGCCCCCCCCCCCAAAGAAAAATTTTTTTTCCGCCCCCCCCCCCCAATTCTCCCTAGCATTTTCTA